AGAATCAACCCGTCCTCACCAGAGAATCGGTCTAGACCATACTCTATGATGTTATTTACAGAAGCCCAACAATTCCCACCAAGAGCAAGCACAGGTTGTTTTCTGATCAAACACGTTTCTTTTTGCACTGCTGTGCTCTCCCAGAGGATATTCATTCCTTGGTGAAGCTGCTATAATAGGAACCAGTTGGTTTCTGGATACCAAGGCCAGCATTTTCTACCAATTATTGTTGGGTAAAATAGGTCTCGACAGCAATAGCCCATTAAAACCAGTCTATATTCCAAGATGCAGAAGCAGCAGTGTAAGGTTGTGTCTCTCCTGTGTTGTGAATAGTTTCAAACCCACTGCACTGCTCGTTGCTGTTTTTCAGCAAAGGTGTTCAACTTTCACGCAAGCCCAACAGTAGCACTTGTCTGTCTTCCATGCTTTAGAAAATGTAGAGCAGCCTCTGGTGGGATCACCAGGACAGAAGTCAGTAAGGACCAGTACATCAAAGGACAGATTTTAGAAACAGCTGATTCAGTCAGAGGGTGTTTAAGTGTGTTAAGGGAGCAATTTCTTGTTTTCAGATTTGAATAGGTAGAGGCTCCCGTGGACACATTAAGTTGTAAAGGCACTGCTGGGATTTGAACCCAGGATCTCCTGTTTACAAGACAGGCGCTTTCACCAACTAAGCCACAGCACCCGCCGCAGGGAGCTACACTACCTGTTTCAGGTCGTCTAGTTTTGTAATCAAGTATTCGGATTGCCACGCTCTTCTTGTTCACTTGCATTTTTCTTGAAGCTGCATAGAACGCACATGAGGTTATTCTCGTTTTTGTCTTTGGGAAGTGGCACATCGTTATTAAAAATGCCACTCAGGCACCGCTGGGATTTGAACCCAGGATCTGCTGTTTACTAGACAGGCACTTTGACCAACTAAGCCACAGCGCCATTCGGTTTGGTTATTTGACAGACTTTCCCGTGAATGTCTCAATGAAATCAAATGGGCTCGTTAACGTCTTTCATTCCTTTTTCAGTAAAAGCAAAGAAAAACAGACTTGCTGTTCACTTCTAGGATGGCATGTGGTAGCGGAAAAGCCAACACCGTTAAGGCCTCTGGAGTCACAAGAGGACAAAGGGATGAGCTAGGCGAGATCAAGGGACAACGTGGCACTAGTCCTGTTTGACAAGAGGTACTTCGCAGTGGACGAAACGTTCAAAGAGCGTGAACTTCCAAGGGCTAAAGAGGAATCGTCCCTGGGTGGGCTTGAACCACCATCCTCTCGGTTAACAGCCGAGCGCGCTGGCCAATTGCGCCACAGAGACGTGTTTGTTGATAGTTCAAAACATCACGTGTACTCGTTTTCCAATCTCGGTTCCATGATGCTCAAAAGCCGTGTCCTTTGAAAGCAATTCACATATCGCGCCACTCACTCCTAGACTGATTTGTTTTTGTATTAGATGTAAGTTGATTATATTGCCCTAATTTTTATAATTATAAGAGTTTGATGAACTGCAGATGACATGTATGAGAACACTGTGTAGTTACTCACAGATACCAAATAAAATTTCTCACTAAACCAAAGATCTGCTGTGGCGTGTGATGTACCAAGACAGGGAGCCCACACCGTGTTGAAAGTAAAGATACACACTGCTGTGTTCATTACTAGTTTACCTGTGAGTCTGACTGGTGCAGAGAAAACTTCAACCTAAAAAGTATCAAAAAAATACAAGAAAAGTATCTAAAAAGTACAAGAAAAGTATCTAAAAAATACAAGAAATGAATCTAAAAAATACAAGAAAAGTATCAAAAAAATACAAGAAAAGTATCTCAAAAGTATGAGAAAACTGTCTCAAATTGCGAAGGTTAGGTGATCAGCCCATATTGTGAAAGAATAGTGACCCAGGTCTGTGATGTTCTTGTTTCTTCTCAAACAGCCAGTATTTCCTGTTTCTGGTCACCACGCATGTACTGAACTCTGTATCTGCCAACATTAAAATGAAATTGAAATTTCTGGGATGGTGACCTGCAATCTTGCAGAATCAACCCGTCCTCACCAGAGAATCGGTCTAGACCATACTCTATGATGTTATTTACAGAAGCCCAACAATTCCCACCAAGAGCAAGCACAGGTTGTTTTCTGATCAAACACGTTTCTTTTTGCACTGCTGTGCTCTCCCAGAGGATATTCATTCCTTGGTGAAGCTGCTATAATAGGAACCAGTTGGTTTCTGGATACCAAGGCCAGCATTTTCTACCAATTATTGTTGGGTAAAATAGGTCTCGACAGCAATAGCCCATTAAAACCAGTCTATATTCCAAGATGCAGAAGCAGCAGTGTAAGGTTGTGTCTCTCCTGTGTTGTGAATAGTTTCAAACCCACTGCACTGCTCGTTGCTGTTTTTCAGCAAAGGTGTTCAACTTTCACGCAGGCCCAACAGTAGCACTTGTCTGTCTTCCATGCTTTAGAAAATGTAGAGCAGCCTCTGGTGGGATCACCAGGACAGAAGTCAGTAAGGACCAGTACATCAAAGGACAGATTTTAGAAACAGCTGATTCAGTCAGAGGGTGTTTAAGTGTGTTAAGGGAGCAATTTCTTGTTTTCAGATTTGAATAGGTAGAGGCTCCCGTGGACACATTAAGTTGTAAAGGCACTGCTGGGATTTGAACCCAGGATCTCCTGTTTACAAGACAGGCGCTTTCACCAACTAAGCCACAGCACCCGCCGCAGGCAACTACGCTACCTGTTTCAGGTCGTCTAGTTTTGTAATCAAGTATTCGGATTGCCGCGCTCTACTTGTTCACTTGCGTTTTTCTTGAAGCTGCATAGAACGCACATGAGGTTATTCTCGTTTTTGTCTTGGGAAGTGGCACATCGTTATTAAAAATGCCACTCAGGCACCGCTGGGATTTGAACCCAGGATCTCCTGTTTACTAGACAGGCACTTTGACCAACTAAGCCACGGCGCCATGCGTTTGGGTTACTTGACAGACTTTCCCGTGAATGTTTCAATGAAATCAAATGGGCTCGTTAACGTCTTTCATTCCTTTTTCAGTAAAAGCAAAGAAAAACAGACTTGCTATTCACTTCTAGGATGGCATGTGGTAGCGGAAAAGCCAACACCGTTAAGGCCTCTGGAGTCACAAGAGGACAAAGGGATGAGCTAGGCGAGATCAAGGGACAACGTGGCACTAGTCCTGTTTGACAAGAGGTACTTCGCAGTGGACGAAACGTTCAAAGAGCATGAACTTCCAAGGGCTATAGAGGAATCGTCCCTGGGTGGGCTTAAACCACCATCCTCTCGGTTAACAGCCGAGCGCACTGGCCACTTGCGCCACAGAGACGTGATTGTTGATCGTTCTAAACATCACGTGTACTCGTTTTCCAATCTCGGTTCCATGATGCTCAAAAGCCGTGTCCTTTGAAAGCAATTCACATATCGCGCCACTCACTCCTAGACTGATTTGTTTTTGTATTAGATGTAAGTTGATTATATTGCCCTAATTTTTTATAATTATAAGAGTTTGATGAACTGCAGATGACATGTATGAGAACACTGTGTAGTTACTCACAGATACCAAATAAAATTTCTCACTAAACCAAAGATCTGCTGTGGCGTGTGATGTACCAAGACGGGAGCCCACACCGTGTTGAAAGTAAAGATACACACTGCTGTGTTCATTACTAGTTTACCTGTGAGTCTGACTGGTGCAGAGAAAACTTCAACCTAAAAAGTATCAAAAAAATACAAGAAAAGTATGAGAAAACTGTCTCAAATTGCGAAGGTTAGGTGATCAGCCCATATTGTGAAAGAATAGTGACCCAGGTCTGTGATGTTCTTGTTTCTTCTCAAACAGCCAGTATTTCCTGTTTCTGGTCACCACGCATGTACTGAACTCTGTATCTGCCAACATTAAAATGAAATTGAAATTTCTGGGATGGTGACCTGCAATCTTGCAGAATCAACCCGTCCTCACCAGAGAATCGGTCTAGACCATACTCTATGATGTTATTTACAGAAGCCCAACAATTCCCACCAAGAGCAAGCACAGGTTGTTTTCTGATCAAACACGTTTCTTTTTGCACTGCTGTGCTCTCCCAGAGGATATTCATTCTTTGGTGAAGCTGCTATAATAGGAACCAGTTGGTTTCTGGATACCAAGGCCAGCATTTTCTACCAATTATTGTTGGGTAAAATAGGTCTCGACAGCAATAGCCCATTAAAACCAGTCTATATTCCAAGATGCAGAAGCAGCAGTGTAAGGTTGTGTCTCTCCTGTGTTGTGAATAGTTTCAAACCCACTGCACTGCTCGTTGCTGTTTTTCAGCAAAGGTGTTCAACTTTCACGCAGGCCCAACAGTAGCACTTGTCTGTCTTCCATGCTTTAGAAAATGTAGAGCAGCCTCTGGTGGGATCAGCAGGACAGAAGTCAGTAAGGACCAGTACATCAAAGGACAGATTTTAGAAACAGCTGATTCAGTCAGAGGGTGTTTAAGTGTGTTAAGGGAGCAATTTCTTGTTTTCAGATTTGAATAGGTAGAGGCTCCCGTGGACACATTAAGTTGTAAAGGCACTGCTGGGATTTGAACCCAGGATCTCCTGTTTACAAGACAGGCGCTTTCACCAACTAAGCCACAGCACCCGCCGCAGGGAGCTACACTACCTGTTTCAGGTCGTCTAGTTTTGTAATCAAGTATTCGGATTGCCACGCTCTTCTTGTTCACTTGCGTTTTTCTTGAAGCTGCATAGAACGCACATGAGGTTATTCTCGTTTTTGTCTTTGGGAAGTGGCACATCGTTATTAAAAATCCCACTCAGGCACCGCTGGGATTTGAACCCAGGATCTCCTGTTTACTAGACAGGCACTTTGACCAACTAAGCCACAGCGCCATTCGGTTTGGTTATTTGACAGACTTTCCCGTGAATGTCTCAATGAAATCAAATGGGCTCGTTAACGTCTTTCATTCCTTTTTCAGTAAAAGCAAAGAAAAACAGACTTGCTGTTCACTTCTAGGATGGCATGTGGTAGCGGAAAAGCCAACACCGTTAAGGCCTCTGGAGTCACAAGAGGACAAAGGGATGAGCTAGGCGAGATCAAGGGACAACGTGGCACTAGTCCTGTTTGACAAGAGGTACTTCGCAGTGGACGAAACGTTCAAAGAGCGTGAGGCCTGAAGAGGAATCGTCCCTGGGTGGGCTTGAACCACCATCCTCTCGGTTAACAGCCGAGCGCGCTGGCCAATTGCGCCACAGAGACGTGTTTGCTGATAGTTCAAAATATCACGTGTACTCGTTTTCCAATCTCGGTTCCATGATGCTCAAAAGCCGTGTCCTTTGAAAGCAATTCACATATCGCGCCACTCACTCCTAGACTGATTTGTTTTTGTATTAGATGTAAGTTGATTATATTGCCCTAATTTTTATAATTATAAGAGTTTGATGAACTGCATATGACATGTATGAGAACACTGTGTAGTTACTCACAGATACCAAATAAAATTTCTCACTAAACCA